ATTCGGCAAAAATCATGCAAGATATAAATTGAAAAATTAACTTTTTCTTTCCCATTCGAGGAAGAAAGGAAGTATTGTATGCCGGCATTCGTTCCCGATAGTGACAAAACCTTTATAATTTTAATTATTTTTTCAGTAAAATTTTTTGAACTACATAACTTTTAATATCTAAACAAAAATAATTTCGATTCGGATTTGCATTGTTTCTAAATATTGAGGAACATTTGACTAAACACACAAACTTGTTTCCAAACAAAATATTTTTTAAATAAAAACATTTTTAAATAAACATTTTTAAAATTAAAAATTTTTTTGTTAAGGGGGAGAGAGAGGGGATATTTTTTGTAAATCGATTCTGTCAATTAGAGAGAGAGGAGGGAAGGCAATGAAGACAATGGAAAATTTTTTTAAATGCCTTTTAAAAATTGATTGGCTAGGATTTTTTGTCAATCAACGGGCAAGGGAAATGCCTAGTGAAATGCCATATATTGTATTTTTTTCTACACTCCACTACCACTCACTCAACAGGCAGCTATTGAAAAAAATTCCCCTGTAAAAGAAAATTTATTTTAAAAATTTTATTTGATTTTTATTTTAAACAATTAAACAAAGATGTCGAGATTCTTTTTTATTATTGCGATATTAATTGTTGTTTTGATTGAAATTGATGCGGTTCGTAAAAGGAAACATAAGGAAGTTGATTCCAATGACAATAAACCGCCTAAAAGGTCTAGGAAACAATCCAATCCACAACAGGCATGGACTGGCCATTTAGGTTTGCTAAAACTTAAGAATTAAATATTGAAAATCCGTCGAAGCTTCATGATAGCCCCGTGTATAAAACACAATAAAACATTGTTGGTAATAGGATGTTTGGATAAAAAAGTTATTTTGGAAAGCTTTTAAGATCTGTCTCACAAGGTCTATTATGTATAGGAATTTTGTAATTTTTTGGTACCATTTGATAGGGGACTCCCAAGCTCCTTTTGCGAAGTGATGTCCGTTTTTCTTCAAAATGACTTTGGGCCGAGTTTTTTTTGAAAATGTAAAAGACAGGAGTTGCTCGTTTACCCTGCAACTCCAGCTAAAAAAGTATTAAAAAGCTTATTTAAATTTTATAAAATTAAGGGCAAACAGGCCCAGGTGTAAGCATGTCAACAGCTAAAATGGTGAAGGTAAGTTTATTAAATCTAAATTCGGACCTCGTTTTTACATGCTGTAAAGGAACTATAAGACTAACTGAAATTTATACGTTTGTTCTACCTCTACATAAGTTTTGTCACTGAGAATTTACATACTTGTTCCATATCATTAATAATATTTATTTAATAAATAAAATTTTAAAAATCGTTAACGTAATGTGAAATTTAGCGAAATTTAGTAAAAACAAGTGATAAGAAACTGTGTACTTAACTACCGCCAGTTTTGACATTACGGAGTTCTTGACACTTGTTTTAATAATGTAAAGCATATAGCTATTAATTTCCTAAGGCTGAGCAGTAGGCGGCGTGGTGTAATGGCTAACACATCAGTCCGGTCTACTGAAGATGCTTGTTCGCTCCCAGCCGACGATTAGCCTTTTGCACTAGCTAAAAGAGAGAAATAGCTATAGCCCAGCTGCTTTACTATAAATTTAGCTAAATTTCGCATTATGCTCAGGTTATTGCCAGTTTTAATCATTTTATTGGCCGCTGAACGGAGCTGCCTAGGTTAACTTTATGACATAAAAATGGGGTCCAATTGTATATTAATTTAAAATATTATTTCGAATATAGTATAATAGTTTTCAATTTGAATAATTTAGACTGCCCCAGATGAGGCTAGAGAAGAAAAAGTGCAAAATGGTAAGTAAATGTTTATCGAGTTTAGAAGCCAATCCCAAAAGAAGTCCATGCACTATTAGAAGATTCTTATTGAAATTTCATATAATATTGGTTAAAAACCAAGGGTTTCTATTAAAATATTTACAGTATCTGTTTAAGCCTAAATAGAATTATGAAACGGAAAATAGGCCAATTTTGAATCTCTTTATTTAAAGAGAATATTTTTTAAATATTATCTTTAGTCGTAAGTTATTTCTTAATACAAGAGGTTTTATAAACATAAATTTCTTATTATGTTGACAACATTGAAGGTAACATAGGGACAATTCAGAGAACAAATCCATTATTGAATACTATAATGATATTGTTGTATCCATATATTTGATAATTTATTAATTATATTTAAAATATTATTTTCAAATATTTATTGCCCCAAAATATGTTGTAAATGTTTGTTATCTATTCCACATTTTAAATATTCAAAACATTCCCTCAAAACAAACATTTACTTTGATCTTAAAACTTCCTCTCATTTATTTTAAATAATTTATTTTCTTATCTATGTTTTACAACTTTCTCGTCTGACCTACTTCCGCCCATTTCCTTACCCTATAAATACTTATTTGTTTTTTCACATTTTCAAGCTCGTCTTGATCACACTTGCTCCCAAACCAAACCCCAACCTATTTAAATAAACTTGTATAATTATTTGTTGAGTATTGTTTGAGTTAGATTTATTAGTATTTGAGTAATATAAAGAAGATATTTAAACTTATTTATTTATTAAAAGAACCGGGACATAATATTGGTGCCACGAACCCGTTGCGAATTAAACGGAGATTAAATTTAAAAAAATTTTTAATTTGAATATTTGTTGAAGTGATTTAATTTGAGATATTTAGAAGAAGAAGATAAATATTTGAAAGTTTAAGAAGAAAAATTAGAAAAAGAAGTATTGTATTGAAAAAGAAGAGAAATTTTAGAAAAAAAGGTATTGTTGGAAAAAGTAAAAGAATTTAAAGAGAAAATTAAATAAAAAGAAGAGATTGGTCTGAAAAAAAAAAAGAAGTTAAAAAGAAGATATTTGATTGAAAAAAGTGATAGAAAGTAAAAGAGATTTGAAAAAAATATTGTTGAGTAAAATTTGAAGAAAAGAAGATAAAAATGTCAGGTTCAGATTTTTCAGCTGAGTTTTTCAGTGACGAAGAAAATAAGGCATTTGATAAGATTTTGAGACAACTTCGCTCCTTTGAGCGCTCCGTGGCTCAAAGTTTTCGCCACGTGGAAGAAAGATTAGACTTGATTGAGAAAAGTGCTAAAAAGAATATAGATGGCCTTACAGAGACTAAAGGCTCAATAACAAACTTACGTAAAAATATTACAGACTTTCAAAAGAGTTTTGAAGAGAAAATGGATAAAATTGTTAAATTAAGGAAAATAAGTAAAAATAAGAAATTTGAAAATTTTGATGAGGAAGAAGACAGTTATGAAGTCGGTTCGGATTTAACCATTCGTGAGGCGAATGAGACTGATAATAATTATATTAGACATAATAGAGAAGCTTATGTTACTGACCCATTTATAGGAAATGGAGTATTTATGGTGGGAACATTTGACGGAAATCCCACTGTATCCTTCACTAAGTGGATAGAGAAATTTAAGGACGTTTTATCTTTGATGATGGAGCCTACAGAAGCGCAAAAATTATTGCGTTTACGCTTTTGCTTGGCGGGTCAAGCACGGATGGCGTTTGATGAATTAAACCCCCAACCTAATACGTTGGCAGAGGCAATTACAGCTCTAAGAAGAAAATTTGAGAACGGCAATAGTAAAATAATTGCTCGTCAAAAATTATCAAATTGTAGACAAGCTCCAGGCGAATCAGTATTTGAATTCGCAAATCGTCTATCGGATACTGTACGCACAGCCCTCTCGGGTGAAGAGGAGGAAACTATTAAAAAACGTCTTTTAGATGAATTTTTGGATAGACTTTTACCGGATCTACAGTTCGAGGTCAAGGCCCAAAGGCCGCTTGAATTTAATAATGCCTATGAAATAGCTCAGAATTATGAACTGCTGCTTGCAGCAAGAAAAGCTAACTATAATAATATTTCGGTTGCTAGTTTGACAGAAAAAGTAGAGGTATCGACGTTCGAGAATAATAGAAGGAAAAAGATCATCTGCTTTAATTGCAAGAAAAGAGGTCACATTGCTAGGAACTGCTTTTTCCTTAGACCTGAATACAATCAGAGAAATTACAGACCCCAACAGTTTGGGAGTTTTGAACCCTGGCAGAATAGTCAAAATTACAGTAGACATTATAATAATTTTACCGAGAATAGACTTGGTAGACATGAAAATTATCAAAGAAATAATTGGTCAAATAATAGAAAAAGGAATTATAAAAACTACGATAGCTCAAGTAGCCTAAGTAGCCGCTCAAGTAATAGTGAGCGAAAAATAATTCACCAGAGCAAGGATCGAATAATTACGATAATCGGTCGCCAAATCGAAGAATGAGATTTGAGAGAAATAGAAGTCCACGAATAGGAAGTGTGAGCCCATTTATGCTTGTAGTTCTCGCATTATTCTGTTTAATTGGCTCATCTTTTAGCACCCCTATGAGATGCTTTAATAACACACCCATTTCAACATGGAGATTAACAAACGATCCGATATGCCCTAAATTTATTTATGGAGAAGATAATATATTGGAAAATAAGACTTCTGCTTTTGAATATAAATGTGTAATTACTGATGTAAGTAAATGCAGAGGTTTTTTTGACAGCTATATACAGAGAGAGGAGACATTAAACCAATTTAGTATATTAGCCTTTAGCTGTATTGTAACAATTCTGTTCTTATTAAAATTTGTTTTAGCTTCGATTTTAGCAGGCCCAATAAATTATTTAAATATTGGAGATATATATAGTAGAATAAAGAGAATATATAGTAGAGTAAAGAATTATAGAAAGAAAAATAAAAGAATGAAACGTATGAGACTAATTAAGAACAAAATTGAATCAACTAAATGTGAGTTAAAAGAGAATAAAATTCCACTTTCTAAAAGATGGCCCTCTAAGAATAAAATTGAAAGAGGAGATATAAATAAAAATAGACAAAATAAAATTAAAATTTGCGTTACGGAGAATACCCAGTGTGACACAAATTCCAGAATATTAACTAAAATTAACGGAATTACAACTATATGTTTGCTAGACACTGGAGCACATACATCAATTATTAGTTATTCTAATGCCATGAGAATAGGTCTATTAAAAGACATTTCCGCTGCAAATTTTCCAGCAGTCTACGGAATTGGCAATAAATTAGTACCAACTCTTGGTCAAGCTACAGTCGAGTTAGAAATCGCTGAGTGCAAAATTCAAACAAATTTTGTAATTATTAAAGATACTGAGAAAAAGAATCAAACATATAGCGCCATTATTGGTAGAGAAACATTAAGTTGTTTACCCCTTATGTTAAATTTTACAAACTGGGAGCTTATAAAAATTCCGAATGAGTATAAATTAATTAGTAGCAGAGAATTAGACAAAATATCAAGAAGGCTAGATGATCTAAAGACCAATAAGTTTGAAAAAGAGAATAGAATATGTAATTATTGCAAGAAAAAAGGACATATTGCCAGTATCTGTTTTTATCGTAAGCCGGATTATAATCCGAGAGAAAATCGCTTTCAAAATAAAGTTGAAAGAGAAAACGGAGCTTTTAAAGTAACGCATAATGACCAGCTACGGTTGAGAATTTCACAGCTCTAGCCCAGTCAGAAATGACTGAGATTCTAAAAATATAGTTTGTTAAAAAATATTTTTATTTAATCATCATTTATCAAATATTTTAAATTTTTTTTATTGTTATTCTTAACTATTTTAAATTCCCCCAAAATATTCAATTAATTTTGTTTTGTAATTTTCTTTGGAATTGTAATTATTATGTTTAATGATGAACTTGGAAAATTATGGATCTACGACAAAAAGAAGATAAACAACAAACAGCAAATCCCCAGATCGTAAAGAAGAATAATTTATAATTTAAAAAAAATTGAACTACGCATAGCTTCATCAAAATACTACCTCCTCCTTTTTAGGAGAGATCTTTAAAAAAAATACCCATCAACAAAATCATACAATATGCAATACGGTTAAAAATTTAAATCCCGCTCAACATTGCGGAGAAGGAAAATATAATAACCAAAAACCCCGCAATGGGAGAGGAAATAGGTAATTCACGCATCTTTTGCCTCTTCGGTCAACTCAACCGTTAGAGAGGCAAGAATTGGCTGATAACCGTTTTCGTTATAAGACCCATGTTAGTGGAGAACATGATTGATGGATAATGTAAACAACAAAAGAAAATATGGACATCAATTCTCTAAAGGGGAAAGGAGTGTTGGATACATGTCTCAACAATTAGGCGAATATTCTTCTAAAGGGGAAAGGAGTGTTGTATCCATATATTTGATAATTTATTAATTATATTTAAAATATTATTTTCAAATATTTATTGCCCCAAAATATGTTGTAAATGTTTGTTATCTATTCCACATTTTAAATATTCAAAACATTCCCTCAAAACAAACATTTACTTTGATCTTAAAACTTACTCTCATTTATTTTAAATAATTTATTTTCTTATCTATGTTTTACAACTTTCTCGTCTGACCTACTTCCGCCCATTTCCTTACCCTATAAATACTTATTTGTTTTTTCACATTTTCAAGCTCGTCTTGATCACACTTGCTCCCAAACCAAACCCCAACCTATTTAAATAAACTTGTATAATTATTTGTTGAGTATTGTTTGAGTTAGATTTATTAGTATTTGAGTAATATAAAGAAGATATTTAAACTTATTTATTTATTAAAAGAACCGGGACATAATAGATATACATATAAAATTAAAATAAATAATAAAAAAATAAATTTTTTTTTGTATACAGACCAAGATGTTCGCATAAATGGAAAACAAAATGAAAATGAAATTCCTGATGATATAACGCTTAGTAAATGCTTCAAAGGAAGAAAACTCAACAAGACTAATTTTCTGAACAAAAAGAAAAACAAATTTTTGGACGAGGATGCCTTGAAAGGGATCAAAGAAATCTATGCTTCAGATGACGATAAGATTGAAACATCCGTTATTAAATCCGCAGAAGAGATTTTGGGTAACGAAGCAATTTATGCCTAAACATATTTTGCTGATTTTAAAGATGTAAAGATTGAACAAAATTTGTTCAAAGCGAATCCATTAATTACAGTTAACTCTCGATATAACGAAATTTGAGGGATCACAAAAAGGGTTTTTTGTATCAAGCGATTCATTAAACCGAGCTTCCACATAAAACACTTTTGATAAAACATTGTTTAAGATCTAAGAAAATTGTTTGAGTTGGTCTTAAATATACATTTAATCAAAACTTGAGAGATTAAATAAACTTGACTCACATTCATATTGTTTTTAACGGAATTGAATGAGTATATTAAGTGTAATTTTGAAACAAAAAGAATATATAATTTTATGGTGGAAACTCGAACGTGAAAATTGTGTTGGATACCACAGTTTTCGTCTTTATTTTGTATAATTTACCCAAAGACCCATTTGTCAAGTACCATTTCCTCTATGCACAAAAATATCTATCAATGGTCTATTCTATAAAAACGTCTTATTGTACATATAAAATGACAGGTAAAAATAAAAGAAAATTGTTCGTTAAATCGAGAGTCGACTGTAGTTAAAAAAGGATATTCATGATTTATATTAAATTCGTCCAAGTATTCTAAAAAGTAACCAACCTTTTCAACTAAAATTTTTATTTTAACGTAAATTTTATTCCATATCAAAAGCCTGATGTTATTTCGCATATTATTATTTAATTTTTGTAAACCTACACAAAACCACGGATAAACATTTAAAATTAAAGATTTTAAAATTTATTAATGTTCTGCATCTTGTTTATTTTGATCAACAAAAATTCAGAAAGAATAATTAAAAATTTCATATACCTATACAGTCGACATATTGATATTGTAAGAGTAAATGAACTCGAACATAACTATTCTCTCAGTTGAAAATTCATTTTAGGAAAAATTTTTTTTGATTAATAAAAAAATATAGTGTTGTCAAAGATTTTTGAAGACTTTCTTAGAATGTATTTCATAATTTATATTGTTATTCAGTTTCAGTATATTATTATTTGGTAATCCCCATAGAGAGAAGTCTTTAATTAAATCCTTTTACATATAATCTTATTCTGAAATTTCATCAATTAAATGCCCCTAATCTGAATTTTCGTTGATTTTGGTGTTATTTGACTAATCTCGAAGAACTTTTCCATTTTCGCAGATATTTGGTGACCTCCCATAGGATTATTTCCACAAGTTTAATAAGAAGTTGGGTTTCTTATCCAGAGATTAACCAGGATCCGTCAACCCTAACTGGAAGTACCAAAAAGCTTGACTGAAACCACAAAATGTATATATTTTTTATCAAACACAGAAAGCACCTCTAATAAAAAGTCAATTAATATTTAAGAAAAACAATTATATGTATATTATTAAAATATGAATTTAATAAATTTTAAATTTATTTAATAGACGAACAAATAGACTTTTAGTCGAAAGGGGAAATCTTGAAGATTTGATAAAATTTGAAGAATTTTAAAAATTTGAAGAATAAAAAATTTGAAGAAATTTTATTATTGAAAAACGATTAAAAATTTATATTAAATATAAATTCTCGCACTTAATTTAATTTTTTATTAAATTTTATTTAAAATATTTATTCCTATAGTCGATAAAAATTTTAATATTTTACATTTTATTTATTTTTTGAAAATACATTGTATTTATGTTTGAAGTTTATTGGAAAAAAAAGATAAATAAAAGAATCGTTTATTTATTTACATCTGCATAAATCTATAGCCTATCTTGAATATTGCCTCAAATAGGGGTGTCCTTAACTAGAGGATTTGGATAACCGAAACTGAAAGAATTTTTCTTTTAAAGTAAACCGAATCTAAAATCTTTGGGGTCAGTTTAAAACTGGCAATCCTTGTCTTTACTTCTACCCATAGGGTAAATTAATCAAATAAATAAATTATTAAATAAAAGCATTTCTAACAAGTTCCGTTTTTATTTTTACCAAAAAGCTTTACAATATCCGCAGTTGTTTTCTGTCCTCTCCTAAGAGAATGCCTATTTCCCCATTTACTTGGATGATTGTATCGAAGATGTGGAGTTATTTGCGAACCTTTTTTTTAAATTAAAATAGGTAACAAAAAATTTAATTTTTATTCACCTTCTCTAGTTAACTTCAACTCCAAATTATGCAATAAAATATTCATAACACTCTGATCCTGTCTGTGGCATCTTCCATCTTGATACAATTGGTCTGTATCATAATTTTGGCAGGATATCGACGCACCGAGTGGCTCAATACACTCTGGAGTTAGGGCACAGAGAACAGACCTAAAATTAATTTATAAATATTTAATTTGGCCCAATCAACAAATCAAAAGTAACGACTGATTATAAATATTTTAATATACAAAAATCTTAAAAGAATGAAAGTTTACTCAGAATATTAACGAACCATTTAAGCAATTGCCTAGTAAAATCACTTTTCCTCACAATTATCATATTTGCCTCCATCATTTCAATATCATTTGTATCCTCTCCAATTTTGGAGCCAACAGTTAATGATGGGTCAAGTGGAATATAACTGAACATATCTAATAATTTAAGGATAATAAAGATAATTCTATTCAAATAAACAGAATTTTTTCAATATAATGAATAAACAAAGGGATTTAATATTATAAATATTTACAAGCTATAATAATTATCCTTAAAATAATACAATGTTTAAAGAAATTAAAGTTATGGGTTATGCCTTTTTTGCTTTATAATCAGCATCTATTTAAGCTTAATTTTATGAAATTTATTTTAATTCATGCCAGAGAAAAACATTGACAACAAATAAAAAGATTTTCTAGGAATTAAAAAAATTTATTCAACCTTAATTTGCATTTGAATCGGATCCTCAACCCATCTATTTTTTAATGATTTTTCAAATATTTTACCAGGATGTGTTGCAAATTTCAAGCCATGATGTGTACCCAAAGTAAATTGAAAATCCCCTAATATTTTCCTATTAATGTCTCTAATGAATATTATGTAGTCATTTGTGTGAAATTGTATTGAGGTATCACAATAAATAAAAGAATTAAATTCTCTAAACATTTCCTAGAAATTAAAAAGAAAATTTTTTTATAATTAAAATTTAATTTTACAGCTAAAATTAGCACTTTCCAAGCAAAAGTTTTCAATTTATGAAGTCGTTGAGGTAATTGAGTAAAATTGAATTGCCTGAGTTGTAAATTGCAAAGGGAATTGAGTTCATTTTTCTTTTAAAATTAAAAAAAATTGTGTAAATTAGTATTTAAATTAATATGTCATTCAAGGATGTTACTTAAAAAACAAAAAGCTGAAAGCAGCATCCCTTATATTAATAGTCTTATTCTAATATTATTTCTTCTCCTTTACTAGGGGAAAGATTTTTAATCAAGATTTGCCACCTTTCTCGTACCAAAATTCGTACTCGTACTTATGTACGAGCAAAAAAAATAGGCTGGTACGAAGTACGAGTACAAGCAAATCTGAAATTTCCAAGTACTGTTTTCTAGATAGTCGAATACGAGGTTGAAGGAATTTATTTCTACCAATTCTGTCTTTATAATTAGGGAAGTAGAAACGGATTTTAAGATTTATCTTAATCATTTTGGTTAGGTATTTGTTATTTCTAAAAGTCCAAAATTTGAAATTAATTGTAAACAAGACTTACAATAAATTTGTCATCAGAAAGACCACCTAAATCATAAACGATAATTTGAATATTTTGGAAAAAAAATCTTCTAATTCCATCAATTATAGCTCGCAATGAGGGATAAAATTTGAGATTAGCAGCGAGAACAAATGGAGTACCAGTCATATTGTGGGGATATGAAATTCTCTGTTTTAATTTTGAATTAAACATTTAGAGGAATATTACAAATACCATCTTATCTCCTTTATTAATTCCATCATCAATTCCAGAATCCCATCGATCCGTAAGATTAAATCGTTTAAGATGTGAAAGAAAAGAACAATCAAATTTTTTGCCGCTTAAAAAATATCTAGGTGTATCAGAATCGCCTCCATATGAAACATTGTAGGCCATCTAAAAATGTACTAAATTTAAATTTTAATAGTTTAGCAAGTAATCTTGTTTTATTTATTTAATTAAAGCTGATTTTATTCAAGCTTGATCAGGATAAAAAAGTGTGGGGAGAGACGAGCAAAATTAGTAATAGTAAAAATTTCTTTCCTGCTTTAGTTTCTCTAAAGTCGGTAACAATTATAAAGCTAATTAAAATACAGGAATCCATCATCCATTTTAAGGTTTAAAAGTTTTAATAATATTATTTAGTGTTGGTCAAACGCGATTTTGCGGTATCGGTATTTTCGGTAAAATACCGATACCGCAAAATACCGATTTTTTTAAATTGTGCGGTACCGTATTCGGTATCGGTATTGTCGTATCACGACAATTTACAATAATTTTAACTAAACTTACAAATATTTATTCTTTAAAATTATACAATTTATTTGGGTGATTTGCTTTTGGGGGGAAAGATAGTAAAAAGTGAATGTCTTTTGGGAGGATTGAAAAAGTTTAAATAAGGGTAGAACAATTGCATCAGATTTAAAATTATGAAACAAAAGAGAATAAAAATATTTTGAGAAAATTGTTGAATAATAATAAGGGCAAAATATGACAATTCAAGAATTTAGAAAATATTAAAAGAATGGAAAAAAATGAATAAAAATATTTTACAAAAATAAATTTCAAATTAATAATCTTTAAATTATCTTCATATGATTTCCGTCATCTCCAACACTCCGAGCGCAAAAAATTTGCATTCCTCTTTTAAGCATTAAACGAAAGAGAAGAGGCATACAGCAATAAAACAGAATCAGTAATATAAGAAGAGTGCAGAGAAAAATAAAAAGGTAGCGCGGATTGATCAAGTAAAAGAAAAGATTGGTGTAGTCAAACTGTTGTAGCCAATGTATAAAAGCTTTTGTTTCAATTCTCTTTTCTTTATTTTCTACTTTATTCCAAAAATCGATATATTTATTTTCTGTTGCTGCGAGCGTTCCTTTTAATTTAAAAGTAGTAGGGTGTAATCCACAAAAAACTTCGCATTCTTCTTCAATATGCGCCTTATTTAAATTTATCGATATAACTTTATCAATTCCTTTAGGCCCACATGTTGTAAACATGTTTATACTCGGGCAAACAATATTTGCCAATGATTTTCCAAAGTCTGTATTACAAGTCAGATATACTTTAGCACCCTCATCACATTCATAACATCCATATAGACTCACATTTGTTATTAAACATTTATTTAGCTCAATTTCAGTTTTAAGTTTCATTCCTTGCAATTTAAATTGTAAAGTAGCGGAGGAAATTTCTGTTGCTGCTATTATGTTTCCAAATTTATTTTTAATCATTATACCATTATGTGAAAATGGTAAACTATTTTCTGGTTTAAAAATCATACTCTGATTGTTTAATTCTTTACAATCACAATTAACTTTATTATCCGCAGGGCGGCAGTGACAAATATTTGGATCTATTTTACAATTTAAAAATGTTTTTGCTTCTGTTCTTGATTTACATTTAAACATTCTTAAATTATTCTCTGTTTCAGTATCTATTTTCGCAATTTTCTTTGAATTTGAAACAAAAGTGCTTGCAAGCATGGGAATTAATCCCATTGTAATATCTTTTAATGTTATTTCTATTTTATTATTTGTGACTTTTCTTCCTGGTATTAAATTAAACATACTATTCGTTATATTTCCATGACTATCAATTAATTTATTATTTATTTTAATTATTGGTTCCCACTTATCACAAGTAAATATATCCAATATTTCTTTTTCTGATGGTATAGCATAATATCTATAATATGTGCATGCGGGGACCGTGTAAAAACATCCTTGAAACCAGCCCCCATCAGATTCAACGCATTGGGTTATTCCGGGAAATTTATTTATATCTTTTAATTCATCTATTTTTTCATTTGTTTTTAATTCACTGCATTTATTATCCACGCAGCTCCCCTCCGAATAACAACGTTTGACTGACATTGTTTTTATTTGGTAGGTTCTAGAAAAGAATTTAATTGCTTTAGTACAGATCATCTCCACATAATGTACTTCAATTTCAATTGTCCCGGCTAATTTTCCTGTATGGTCATTTAATAATATTTTTACTATTTGATTATGTGGATTTAAGTTAATTTCAATAATCTCTTCAAAAAGACAATTTCTTTCTCCTAATTTATTTACCGTGCAACTTTCCTCTCTTGCATTAATTGAAGTTAAACTTTTAACATCTTTTATTAAATAAAAAATTATAATAGTTATCATGATTTTCATCGGAAGTAACTGGGAATTTTCTAAATTTTTGGGATTGAATTCTTTTGTTTTATTTTTATCTTTTCTGTTTTTATTTGATCTATCTTTTATTATTACTTTCCCAATCCATTTAATACATTTAATTTTAAATATAAACAATATTTTTAGAAATTTTAAAACAAATTTAATAATTTTAAATATCATCAAAATTGTACTTGTTAATAAGTACAAAGTTATTCCAAAGGTTATCATTGCTATTTCAGGATAACAATGAGGATTCTTTAAGTATTCCCAACATAGTGTGCATTCAATTAATACGCAAACATTCTGTCTTTCACACACTATTTCTATTTCTTTTAGCTTCTCTCCATTTCTAAAAAAGCTAGTCATAACATTATAATCATTTACTAAAATATTTTTCGAAAAAATCATTTTTTCTGTTTCGTCTGGAAAGGATTTATATACACATTTTTTATTTACACATATCTCAATACCATTTAATTTTCCCTCATTTTTTATTTCGATACCATCTTTTGTACACTTCAATTCACATTTTTTACAAATTAAATTTTCTTTTTTATCTAAAAATTCATTTGTTTTAATTTTTACTCTTCCCCAGGCTTTAATTGGTATTTTCTCTTTACTTGTTTCTAAAAATGCAATTTCACTTCGAACATAATAGCAAAGTTGTGTACCTCTCTCATTACAATGATGATTTTCACAAAATTTTGCTGAGCCAGTTACGGGTCCTTGCCCTACACACACGTACTCATTTTCCATTAAGTCTTCTATTATTATATTTAAATCATTTACTAGTATTTTATTACCATCATAAAGTTCAATTTGATTAAATTCTTTTATTGTTCGTAATTTTGCACAATTATCTCCAGATTCTATTTTACACAATTTCGCTTTTACTTCTTGGGAATTTAATATTTCGTATACGCTTTTATTTTTTAAAGTTGAATTTTTTACGGATGGCCCATAGTAAAAGCTACATTGATTTGTCCATGAAGGACATGAGCATTTTTCCCCGCAATAATTATTATACATTTCTTTTTGTATTCTCAAATGTTTTTCTTTGCAATCAATATATTCCCAGCATAATAATCCTTGATTATCCCTTTTAATCACTAAACCGTCATGAACACATTCATGCATCTCTACGAATTTTAATTTTTCATTTTTCGTACAGGGATTCGCAACAACCGTTATTTTTGAGAGATAAATTAATAGAAGAATCAATATTATTGTTTTGCTTGTCAATTTATTTAAAATAATTTTTA